CCCATTTTAAGAATTAAGCCTAATTTGCTGTAAACCTATAGTCGTCCCCAAAAGTGTCTCCTGCATTCTTGCAATTTAGTTCCAGAGCTCCTGAGGCCAGCCTGCCCTCATCGGGTTTGGACAGCTAGAGCTCAGTGAGTCTCTATACATGTCTCCAAACCTTCCCTGCTGATCTGAGCCCTCCGTTTCCTCCTGATGCTTCTGGGGGCAGTGAGCAGCGGCAAGGCCTCTCTGCTAGCCCTGCTTCTGTAAAGTAAATAAGACAATTAAGGTAATTAATTCAATTTAACAAGATAAGGAATTAATTACGGAATAAGGTAATTATCTGGATGAGTTTGGTAAAAAATACCTGAGAACTTTAAATCAACGAAGAAATCGAACTTTTTAGATAATTGTCTTTTTTAGATAATTGTCTCTTTACAATTAAAAATCTGGCCTTTGAGGTCCCCTATAAAATTTTTCATTAACCCAAAAATGGAATTAAAAAGAGTAGCTTACTGGCTATGTTCCTTTTTTAAACCTTCACCTTAGGCCTGCAGCCTGATTCTGATCAACATTTTACTCTTAGGTACTTTATATAATGAATCTGGCAGTTGGCTCTGAGACCTTAGCACATGGGGCATTCTGTAAATATGAAACATATAGCAAACCATCTTCATGCTCTCCCAGGCTTCGCACTGACCTCTGGGTCACCTGGGCCCAACATAAATTTCCAGTTGAAGGGAAGCATTGTATACCAGGCCCAGAGTCCTTTTCGGCCCTGCCCCCGCCCATCAAGACTACCAGGATCCTACTACTCCTTATACTGAACAGCGGGTTGATTGATTTGCCTTGTAAGGCCAGATAAATAGTTCATTGTGTTGAGCTCAAAAGCTACATTTTTTCCCACCCCCAAATCAATGAAAAACCACTCTTTTCCCCCTTAAAACAAGGATCAGAGGCTAAATCTGTGGGATGATTCTAGTTACTTGGAAACACTTCCGTCCAACCAATTTTTCAAGTTTTAATAAGTTATTTGTAAATGACCAAAGTCTCCTCCGTTCCTTTGTTTCTATCCAGCTTTGTCCCTAAAAATCTGTTGGATGTACTTGTCCATGGCTGTTGTAATAGAGGGAAGTTGCTTTCAGAGTTTAGTAACAGCCTGCTTTGATTTCTTACAGTATATGAGTCCACCCTGTGAGAATTTAAGAGTTAACACAAGTTCTTTTTCTTTATCAAAGATGAGATGACTGTTTATATAAGGGCCTTATCATTTGATATAGGCTTAGCATTGGTTTAATAAAGAAAGAGTGAAGTCTGTTTCTATGAGTCAAGTTCACTGGGTGCTGAACTTGAGATAGACTTAGCTGAAGAAGTTTGCCCAATTGTGTCCAGTGAATTTTGCATTTGGGGACATGTCTCATTTTTTGGCAGTGTGAATGGGTTGTAGTGCCTCACAGTGTGGGATGAACTCTCTCTCCCAAGGCACCTGCATAATAAGGTCAAAAGATACCCCATGTTTGAAGAAAGCTATTCATAGCCTTGAGAAAGGCCAGGACTGTGGAAAAATCAGTTTGGGGAGTGATTAGTTTCAGTTTTCAGCTTTAACTTTTGCAGATTTCTGCAGAGTTGATTTAAGGAGGTACTGGAATGACTCCATAGGCTTTTCATTTGATAAAAAGATGCGACTGAAACTGAGAGAGAGAGAGAGAGAGAGAGAGAGCAGGTCCTCCAGATGGTTTGGGTGTCATCAGCTGTCCATTTCAGGCATTAAGACTGTAAGGACAGTTGTATTTGCTCCACCCCTGGCCACTTCTCTGGGCTTTACCTGAGTCACAGTGAAGGAGCTTCCTGTTTAAAACAAGCCTTTCCCAAGGACTAAGAAGTCATTTTTCATTTCAAGTTGCAGCATGGATGTTGTATATCCTAAAGTTATCCCAGACTCAGGATGTTGACAAATTGCAGCTATAAATCTGAAAACTTTTCTTGAAGACAAATGTCATTCTTATGAACCAGACTGAAAAAGGTTGTCTGTTTCCTTTTGAGAGTGATTTATTATTTTGTTTTTTTCTGTCATTAAAACCATATGAGAATGATGGCCCCTCCTAAATTGTAACACTATATGGTGGGGTTTTATAAAAAATACATTCTTCAAACCTTGAGTTTAACAGCAAATATGCTAAATAATACTTGAAATTGAGCAAGGAGGATTTTATCCATTTGGATATGGACTCTTTTCTACTTGAATTAAAATGAAATAAGAAGTCATTTGGTTTCATCCTTAGATGGGTTTCAAATGAACATTATTCATTTGGTAGGTTAAGTCTCCAGTCCTCTGCTGGCCTATGTAAGGACCAGCTTCTGTCTCAGGGTTCTAGTTTCCCAGTTCTTGCCTTGCTAGTGGACGTCATGGGGAAGCTGCCTCTCACCAAACACCTCTTGCTGCCTATAATTTTGGACAGTGTTCCTTCCTCACTTTTGTGTAGATACAAATGAGCATTCAATAGCACGTTTCCTGAATACCCACTATGGGCCTGCCCTTGTGCTTGGTGTTGAGGCTGATAGAAGGACCAGAAAAACACCATTCAGCCCTGTCTGCAAGCAATTCCAGTTGGTTCTATCACTTGGGGAATATTGAGAAAATGCTGCATATTTTATATCTTTTTTATGGCAATGTGGGGATATGTCTCTTACTTACTTCTGTCATTCTGAATGTGAAGCCACTCCATAAGTTTCTGGTTGGCTTTATATGTCCTTGTTTCTATTTCCAGTTTATCATGAATTCAGTGTTTGGTAAGTCTCTATTGTATTTTGCACATTTATTATTCTTTGCTATTATTATTATTATTATTATTATAGTTGTTGTTATGCTCTCTTGATATAAAATGTACTTTATAATTATCTTTTTAAGTCGCTCTGCTACTTGGCATCTGCCTTTCAAAAGATAAACTGCTTTTACCATCTTTATTTAATGTTTGTTATGCATTTGCATTTTACCTCTCCTTCCAGAGATTAATGCTGAAAGGTCGAATGGTTTAAACGATGTTATTTGTAACACTGATGCTCTAACACTGAAGCTCTGAGATGAGAGTCAAGTTGAACTGGGGGAGGGTTGCTCTCTGAGTTGGTATGTGGATATGACTTTGATTGTAGAACATGTCTCTGTGGGCTCATTTTTCATGTGTTTCGTCCTTCAGACAGGTTTAATTCAAAAGTTTTCCTTAACAGAGGGATCAACAGCTGCTCTGCCTCTGGTGACACACTGTTGCTTTAAAAGTTAGTGCAGAAATTCTTCAGACTTCATTTTGTGTGTGGATGGGTGACACACACATGCCCTTCAACATTAATATGGGCCTTGTGTTTGCTGCACAGAAGGGCTGTCCATTTTGGTCTGCTGCCGGTAACTGTCAGAAGAATTTTACCTAATGTTTATTTTTCTTTTCCTTATAATTTCAGCGCTAGTCAATATAATCCCTAAACAGACCTGGCCATAGTGATCTCCCTCCTTTGTTTCTGCTAAAGGGGAAACGTTTATTTCAAGCTTTCATTTCTTTAGCATTTACTTGGCTACTTGGAATAGTCTTCTCAAGGTACCTTTGGCTTATTTATTAGAATATGAGTGAGTGTGTGCATGTGTGCAAATGTGCATATGTTGGCGTGGAACCCTCGTATTGTTTCTGAGGCAGTGGTCTGGATCTTGATAGATAGTCGGCTCTTTGCTTGACATGAAACTATAAACGAAGGATGGGAAGAGTGTGGTCCTTAATAAAGGAAAGG